TCCCCCATCCAGGGATCAAATCTCCTGCATCACCAGGCAGGTTCTTTACCACTCAGCCATCAGGGAAGCCCATTGCTGAGTATATCAATAATTAATTCCTTTTCCTTGCTGAGTAGAATACCATTGGGTACACCATTTGTTTATCCGCTCACTTGTTGATGAACATCAGGGAAATTTCCAGAGTTTGACTAGTTTGAATAAAGAAGATGTTATAAACGTAGGTGTACAATCCTTTTTGTGAACATGTGTTTCCATTTCTCTTGGAAATCTGCTTAGAGTGGGATTGCTGGGCCATATGGTAAGGGTATGTTCAGTTCTTTAAAAATTTTACTTTTAATTGGAGGATAATTGCTTTACAATGCTGTGTTGGTTTCTGCCACACATCAACATGAATCTGTTCAAACTGCCAAACTGTTTTCCAAAGTAACGGCACCATTTTACATTCTCATCTGTAACAGATGAAAGAAAGCTCTAAATACTCACGGACACTTGGTATTAGCAAGTCTTTTAAAAATTTTCGTTTTCATTGTGGTATAATTTACCTACAGTGAAACGATGCAGTCTTAAGTGTATCATTCAATCAGTTGTGACAAAGGCATATCAAAACTCAGAACATTCCCATCACCTGTGAAAGTTTCTGTGCTCATTTCATGTGTCCCAACCCCTCAGAATCAACTGTTGGTCTGATTTCTATCAGGCTTCCTTGGTGGCTCAGATGGTAAAGAATCTCCCTGCAATGCAGGAGACCCGGGTTTGATCCTCTGGAGAAGTGAATGGCAACCAAATCCAGTATTCTTGCCTGGAGAATTCCATGGACAGAGGAACCTGATGGGCTAAAGTTCACAGGTTGCAAAAAATCAGACATGATTGAGCATCTACCACCTTCACTTACACTCTTTTTACTGTCTTCTATCACCATAAGTTGATTCTGCCTATTCTAGAATTTTATCTTTCATTTGGCATGATTTTTTTTTGTTGTTATTGATCACGTGCAGGAGTCTTAGTTTGCCGACCAGAGAGTGAACCTGGGCCATGGCAGTGGGAGTGCTGTGTCCTAATCACTGGACACTCGGGGAATTAATTCCCAGCACAATGTTTTTGAGATTTATCCATGATGTTGCTTGTATTTTGTTCCAAATACTGTCTCACTGTATGGACATATCACAGTTTGTTTATCCATTCTCCTGTAGAGGGACATTTGGGGTTTAATAGTTTGGGGCTATTAGAAATAAAGTTGCTCTGAGCATTTATGTTCAAGTCTTTGTGTGGATATACCCATTTCTCTTGGGTAAATCCTCAAGAATAGGTAGAGTTTTTGGACTATATGGCAGGTGTATGTTTAACTCTAAGAAATTGTCAAACCATCTTCCAATTTACATTTCAGCCAGTAACATATGAGAGTTTCGATGGCTCCATATCCTCCGTAACATTTAACATTGTTTAATATTTTTCATTTGAACTTTTCTAAAAGGGTATATAGTGGTATATCATTATGATTTTAAGCATTTCTCCACTGATTAGTGATGCTGATAACTTTTTTTGTGTGTTTACTATTTTTGTACTTTCTTCTGTGAAATGTCATTTCAAGTCTTTTGTCCATTTTTAATTGCTTTGTCTTCTTACTGATTTTTAGGAATTCTTTATATATTCTGCATTCAAGGCTTTTGTATGTTTTGTGAAAATTTTCTCCCAATTCTGTGGTTATTCTATTTATTTTCTTGTCAGTATCTTTTTTTTCTTGTCAGTGTCTTTTGAGGAACATGTTTTTAATTTTAGATAAAGTCTAATTTAAATTTTTTATTTTAAGAAACAGTAAAATACAAATTTTTTCTTAAAAACTTTTTTTCAAATATTTAAGAAACATTTGCCTACCTCCAGGTTGAAAAGATATTTTCTCAGTTTCTTCTAAAAACTTTGTAAGTTTACTGTTTACTTTCAGGTCCAGAATCCATCTCAAACTAATTTTTGTGTATTGTATAGAGAGAATCAAGGTTCATTTTTTTTCCATGCAGATATCTGGTTATCCCAGCACCATTTGAAAAACTTTTTTTTAAAGAAACCATTGCCCAAACAGGTCATGAAGATTCTTTCCTATGTTTTCTTCTAAAAGTCTTATAGTTTTAGTTATTAATCAATTTTGAGCGATTTTTTGTATATGCTATAAGATAAGGGCTCAATTTTGTTCTTTTGCATGAGGAAAATCAGTTTTCCCATCACCATTTGTTGAAAAACTGTTCTTTCCTCATTGAACAGTATTGGCACCCTTGTCAAAAATCAACTAACCATCATTGTGAGGGTTTAATTCTGGGCTCTCTATTCTAGTCCATCTGTCTTTATGCCAGTGCTACTTTTTTTTAATTATTTTTTGTTTGTTTGTTTGTTTGTTTTTACTTTTTTTTACCTTTTTTTTAATTGTAGCTTTTTGATAAGTTTTGAAATTGGGAAGTATGTGGCTGCCTGTCTTGTTTTCCTTTTTCAAGAGTGTCCTATTTGTGGCCCATTGAATTTCTATATGAAATTTAGGATGCAGTTTTCCATTTCTGCAAACCACATCATAATTGGGACTTTGATAGAGATTGCACTGAATCCGTTTTGGGTACTAAGTAAGTCTTCCAATCCATGAACACAGGCTATCTTTCCACTTATTTTGTTTTTTTAAAATTCTTCCAGCAATGTTTTGTAGTTTATAGTGTCCAGGAATTGCACCTTCTTGATTAAGTTTATCACTAAGAGGTTTTTAGTTTTTTTTTTTTTTTATGTTATTGTAAATGGAATTGTTCTTTAAAAGTTTTTTTCTACTGTTCATTGCCAGTGTATACAAAGACAACTGGTCTTTGTGAGTTGATTTTATATCCTGTAATTTTGCTGAATTTATAGCTTTTATAGTTGTATATGTGCTTGTGTGTGAACATGTTAGGATTTTTTACATGTAAGACCATATCATCTATGACTAGAGAAAGTTTTACTTTTCTTCCCAATTTGAATACCTGTTTTTTCATCTTCCTGCCTAATTGTTCTGGCTTGATTTTCTAGTACTGTGCTATCAAGTGGCAAAAGTGGGCATCCTTGTCTTGTTCCCAATCTTAGGGAAAAAACCTTCAGCCCTTTACCACTGAGTATGATGTGTGCTTTGAATTTTACATACATGGCCTTTATTTTGTTGAGGAAGTTCTATTTCTAGTTTATTGAACATTTTTTTTTTTTTTACCATAAAAGGTGTTGTATTTTGGCAAATGCTCTTTCTGCATCAATTGAAATAATTATGCTTTAAAAATGCATTCTATTGATGTGGTGTTTTACATGGCTTCATTTTTCATATGTTGAACCACATGCATTCTGGGGAGAAATCACATTTGGTCACGGTGTATAGTTTTTTAATAAGCTGTTGAATTCAGTTTGCTAGTATTTTACTGAGGTTTTTTTTGCATTTATATCCATAAAGGATATTAGTTTGTAGTTTTGTTTAATGTCTACAGCCTTGGTATCAAGGTAATACTGGCCTCATAGAGTGAGTTAGCAAGTATTTCCTCTGATTCAATTTTTTTTGGAAAAGTTTGAGAAGAATTGGCATGAAATCTTCCTTTGATTGATGGCAGAAGGAGAAGGGAATGACAGAAGATGAGATGGTTGGATAGCATCACCAACTCGATGGACATGAGTTTGAGCAAGCTCCAGGAGCTGGTGATGGACGAGGAAGCCTGGCATGCTCCAGTCCATGGAGTCACAAAGAGTCAGACACGACTGAGCGACTGAACTGAACTGAATTTCCTAAAATGTATGGTTGACCACCAGTGAGACCATCTGGTAGGCTCATCTTCACTGGGAGGTTTTCAATAAATAATTCAATCTCCTTACTTATTATAGGTCTATTCAAATTTTCTAGTTCTTCTTGAGGCAGTTGTTAGTTTGTGTGTTTCTAGGAATTTCTAACCATTTCAGATAGGTTTTCTGATTTGTTGGCATATAGTTGTTCACAGTATTTCCTTATAATCCCCCTTTTATTTTATTTATGTAAATTCAGCTGTAATGTCCCCTCTTCCGTTTCTGATTTTAGTAATTTGTCTTCCCTACTCTTTTTTTCTTAGTCAAGCTAAAGATATGTCAATTTCGTTGTGATTCTATTGTTTTTCTATCTCTGTTCATTAATCTCTATTCTAATTCCTATATTTCCTTCCTTCTGCTAGCTTTGGGTGTAGTTAGCTCTTTTTTTTTTTTCCCCTAGTTCCTTAAGGTACAGAGTTAGATTGTTGCCTTGAGATTTTTCTTCCTTTTTAATGTAGGCATTAACTGCGGTAAATTTCCCTCTCAACACGGCTTTTGCCACCTCCCGTGTGTTTCAGGATGCTGTGTTCTCCTGTCGTCCCTCTTGGGGCGCGGAGCAGGGTCTGTCCACACGTTGTGGCAGTCACCACCGTGGCCGCTTCGCATTTTGGGGGAGGAGCGGCTGGGGGAGTCTGGTACCTCAAGGTTCCCTTGGGGTGTCACCAGAAAAGGCTTTTTCATGCAGGACGCAGAGTCGCCCACCCATCACCTCCCTTTCCGGCCAACAGAGCGAAGTGGCGGAGCCGGGGTCAGCGGTGTGGGTAAGCACAGAGCCTCACGAGGGAGGGGCCTCACTGGACAAGAGTGCCGGCCCCCTTCGCATTGCCCAGCCCGCCGCAATCGCCCCCATGCCATCAAGGGCGGGGAACAGGCGCCTGCCTCCCTCACCGACCACAGCACCCCCGCAACAGAGCTCTTCACCTGACACACACCGTGGTGGGGACCTGAGGAGCTCGCTGGGAAAGGGAAAGGATGCTGTCACTCGGCCTTGGGCAGCCGAGGGGCAACCCAGATGCTCCAGGGGCACCTAACAGGGCCAGGTGGGACCTGCTCACGTGCGGGATCCCCCAGCGCCAACCGCGGAGAGGGCCTCTCGCGAGACACACCGAGAAGGTGAGGCGAGAGTGCCATGGCGTCCGTAGACGCCTGTGAGGCAGGGGCTGGAGACTGAGGGTCGGCCGGTGCCCCACGCCTGCCCTCCACACACCGCCAGCGGGTGGGCAGGATTTCCGAGGGCCGGCGGGCAGAGCGAGAAGGGTAGCCCCCCGGTTGTCAGGAACCCCCGTCCCTTGTCTGGCACATCCTAGGCCCGGCCGGAGAGATTGGGACATCCCCACGTGGATGATCTGTAAGTATTTTCTAATTGGCCTTTTGATTTCTTCTTTGACCTATTGGTTATTTACGATTGTGTAAATTCCCACATATGTGACTTGTTCCCTTTTCCTTCTGTTACTGATTTCTAGCTTCATTCTGTGGTGGTGAGAGAAGATATGATTTCAATCTTTTAAAATTTACGGAAACTCACATTGGGCCCAACATATGGTCTATCTTGAGGGATGTTCTCTGTGCCCTAGAGAAGAATGTGTATTCTGGCTGTTGTTTACTGGCGTGTTCTATGTAGGTCTAATTAAGTCCGATTGTTTTGTAATGTTCATGTCCTCTTTTTCCTTATTGATCTTCTGTCTAGATGGTCTAGACTTTTTTTTTTAAGAGTCAACATGTGGCTCTTTATTTATTTATTTTTGGCTGCTCTGGGTCTTCATTGCTGCCTGCAGGCTTTCTCTAGTTGCGGTGCGTGGGCTTCTCATCGAGGTGGCTTCTCTTGTTGCAAAGCACAGACTCTAGGGTACACGGGCTGCAATAGCTGTGGCATTCAGGCTCAGTAGCTATGGCTCATAGGTTCTGCAGTGCCGGCACCCAGAGTTAGTTGCCCTGTGGCATGTGGAATCTTCTCAGATCAGGGATCAAACCCATGTCCCCTGTATTGGCAGGCAAATTCTCACCACTGGACCACCAGGAAAATTCCAGTCTATCCATTATCGCAAGTGCACTGTTAAAGTCTCCAACTTTAATGTAGAATTGTCTATTTTTCTGTTCAGTTCTGTCAATATTTGATTTATATATTTTGAAGGTCTTCCATTTTGTGAATAAGTGTTTTTAATTGTTATATCTTCTTGATGAATTGACCCTCTCATTAATAATTAATGTCTTTGTTGTAACAGTTTTTGACTTAAATTTTTAAAATTTCATATTAGTTTAACCATTTCAACTCTTTTAGTTACAGTTTGCCTTAAAATTTTTTTTCTTTCCCTTCCTTTTACTTATGTCCTTGAGTCTAAAAATATTGAATCATAAAAGTATTGGCTTTTATATTTACCCAGGTAGTTACCTCTACTAAAATTTTTTATTTCTTCACATGGCCACAGATTACATCTAATGTCCTTGCATTCCAACCAGAAGTACTCCCTTTAATGTTCTCATAGAGCAGGGCTGCTAGCATTGAACTTCTTCAGGCTTTGTTTATCTGGAATGTCTTAATTTTGCCTAAATTTTTTGGAAGATAGTTTTACTGGGTATAAAATTATTTGTTAATTTTCTCTTTTGGAGCTTTAAGTACACACACACACAAACACACACACACAGAAACACACACACACACACACAAACACAGACAGACACAAACACACACACAGAAACACACAAACACACACAAACACACACACACACAAACACACACACTCACACAAACACACACACAAACACACACATACACAAACACACACTCACAAACACACACACACACGTCAGCTCTGCTGCTGCTGCTGCTGCTGCTAAGTTGCATCAGTCGTGTCTGACTCTGCGCGACCCCATAGATGGCAGCCCACCAGGCTCCTCTGTCCCTGGGATTCTCCAGGCAAGAACACTGGAGTGGGTTGCCATTTCCTTCTGCAATGCATGAAAGTGAAAAGTGAAAGTGAAGTTGCTCAGTCGTGTCCGACTCTTCGTGACCCCATAGACTGTAGCCTACCAGGTTCCTCCGTCCATGAGATTTTCCAGGCAAGAGTACTGGAGTGGGTTGCCATTGCTTTTGTCAGCTCTAGAATGTCTATTCAGTTCCTTTAAAAAATTTTTCTATCTCTTTGTTATGTTCTTATTATGTATTGCTTTCCCGATGTCCTCAGTTCTTTGTTTATAGTTTCCTTTAGTTCTTTGAATATATTTAAAACACTGTATTTTAAGTCTTTATCTAGTAGTCTAATGACCAGACTTCCTCAAGTATGGTTTCTGTTGATTAATTTTTTTACTATGAATGAACTGTACTTTACTGATTCTTTGTATGCCTGATAATTTTTGTTAAAAACTGGACATTTTGAATACTATAATGTAGTAACTCTGCAAATCAGATTTTCTCTCTTCCCCAAGGTTTACTTTGGTCCATTTGTTTAGTGACTTGTCTAAACTATTTTTGTAAATACTATATTCCTTGTTGTTTGTGGTTTCTAAAGTCTCTATTATACTGTCTCAGTAGTCAGCAGGTGACATGACAGATTTCCTTAAATGCCTGGGACCAAAAAGGAAAAATAGTAGTACTCTCTTGGTCTTTGTGCTTTACTCTGAGCTGAGGCATTCCTTCAGCACTAAACCATGCTGCTTTCACCTCCACCTTAGTCCTCACCTTCTGCTTGGGCAGAGCCCACAGAGTTATCAGAGGTGGAACTTAATGATATTTTTGGCTGTGCTAGGTTTTAGTTGCAGCATGCAGGATCCTTAGTTGGTGGCACGGGAACTCTTAGTTGCAGCATGCAAATTCTTAGTTGTTGCATGTGGGATCTAGTTCCCTCACCAGGGAATGAACCTGGGCCCTCTGCATTGGAAGCTTGGAGTCAGCTACTGGACCACCAGGGGAGTCCCAACATCTCAGGTCTTTTCTGAGTATATTCATTACATCCTGGGCATGCACACTGCATTCTTTTCCCAGTATGTGCAGTGGCCCTTCTCAGCTGTTATTGCCCTAATAACCATCCTTCTCTCTTCTTCCCAGTTTTTTTTGGGTCTGTCAGCCATTTGTCCCACTTGTCCCTTTTGTCCCACTTGTCCCTTTGCCCCAGGAGGGCATGAAGTATATATGACTTTAAATCCTTCCACAGATGCTGCTGCTGCCTGGAAAGTCACTCCAGGGGTGGGTGTGGGTGTGTGTGTGTGTGTGTGTGTGTGTGTTGACGAGGGAGAGCATAAAAAGAGTCAGCTTCTGAGTCATTCTTCAGGGACCCACCAGTTAGGTCAAAACAAGCAATTCCAGTTTTCAAGAACAAGGTTTTATATTAGCCCCCATCATCAGTCAGTTACATCAGGGATGCCGGCTGTCATGTCATCCCCACAGCTGCTACCATGCTGGAGAATGAGAAATGAGAGTCAGGTGGGTGAAAATGTCGCAGTGTTCTCTCGCTGAAATTCAGTTTTCCTTTCTCTTCATTAAGCATCTTCCCGGTAGCTGTAAATTTTGGATTAGATTCCAGAGTCCTCCAAAAACTGATTAAGTCCGTTTTTGCCAAGTTATGGTTGTTTAATGGAAGGACTGAATCTTTAACTGGTCCACTCCATCATTTTCTGTGATTTCACCTGGTCTCTGCCTTTTCTTAACTCTACATTTTTATTCAGGTAAAATTTACAGGGACTTCCCTGGTGGTCCAGTGGTTACGAGTTCATGCTTCCAATGCAGGGGGCTTGGGTTCAATCCCTGATCAGGGAACTCAGATCCCACATGCCACAGCTAAGAGTGTGCATGATGCAACTAAGACCTGGCACAATCGAATACATAAATAAAATATTTAAAAAATTTATAAAAAGCTATATACCGCTTGATGAATTTTGCATATGTATATGCTCATGCAGCTGCCACTCAGATGAAGACCTAGAATATTTTCAGTTCCTTAGGAGTCGCCTTCATATTCCTTCCAGGAGACTTACCCATTCTCTCAGGTAACTGTCATTATGATCTTTATCCCTGGTAGTTAGTTTTGCCTATTGCAGAACTTCTTATAAATGGAGTTAAGCAGTAGGTACTCCTCTGAGTCTGGCTATTCTTGCTCTGCCTAATGTTTTTGGGATTCATCCATGTTATTGCTTCTAGCTGAAATTCATTCCTTTTTCATTACTGAAACAATTCCACTGTGTGACTATATCATGATTTGTTTATCCATTCATCAATTGATGGGCATCTGGGTTGTTTCCAGCTTGGAGCTGTTATGAATAGAGCTGCTATGAACATTCTTGTATGCATATTTTGGTTAATACGATGCATGGACTTTTTTCTCTTTGGCATTTGTCTGAGAGAAGATTCTCTCGGTCACTGGACTCTTGTAGGGGGGAATGCCCTGCTCTCTGTACTCAGCGGCCTTTTCTCTGTGCCTACCCCATCTGAACTCTGGTTTGGCCTTCTGCTTCTTGAACCCCGCAACTCCCAAGAATTCTGTGACTTTTCTCTGCTGGCTTCTCTCCATTCCACTTGACTTTCATTTGTTAGTCCTTTAACTCTTGTTAATCCCCAGCTGGAACGCTCCCCCTCCAAGACCCTTCTGGACCCCTTTTTCCATTGGGTTTGGCTATTCACCTTGGTGCTCTCGTTTTCTTCCAAAGCCTGACTCTCAAATGAATATGGAATCCAAGACTTGACCTTCAGCTCTGTCTTCCCTTCTAAAAGTGGGCCAATGGGCAACTGCTTGTTGGACATCTCTGCTTGGGTGGCCCCAGACCCCTCACAGTCCACACTTTCCCAATTTCCCTTTCTGCCATCCCTCAGCTCATTCTCTCTCCTCTCTGGTACACACCTCAAGAACTTCTCCTTTTTTCCTTTAGCTGCACAAGTCTGCGTCCCCACTTCCTTCACTCTGTCACCTTTCTTTTCCCCAGCAACCAATCTGGAGAACCCCAGCACCATCCACAGAGCCTTTCCAATGTCTTTGGGGGTGGGGTTGGGGGTCACTCCACTCCTCTCTAGCCTCATGGCCGCTGCCCCAGTTCAGGCCTGAACCCAAGCATCTCCTTTCAGTATTGTTGCTGGGCTTCTGTCCCTTAGCCTTGCTTTTGCTAATCTGCTTGGCCTGAGGTTCCCTCCATGGTCCCCATAGCCGCCCCTGGCTGTGTCTGCCTCAGCTGCGAGGCCACACTCCTGGGCCCTGCTTCGGGGCCTGGGCTGCAGCCGAGCCAGCCCCGGGCGCCATTCCTTAGCACCGATCGTGCGTGGCGGACACGGTCCGTGGTTGGGGCTCACAGACAGGTTTTTTGAGTTAAGAGATTTGGAAGGGACCCCAGCGCTGGTTGCAGTTCAGAGTCTGTGAGGTGCTGGGT